TGAACAGACTCGGGGTGGAGTCTCCATTCTCCAGGACGTAACAGCTGTCGTGAGAGCGCATCGGCTGCACGATTGAGCGTGCCTGGGACGTGAATGGCGCGAAGCGATTTCAGCCGCGGGTGACTCCAGAGGAGCAGACGGCGGGCGAGCTGAGACATGCGGCGAGAGCGCATACCCCCCATGCGGTTGATATACGCCGCCGCCGTCATACTGTCCGTCCTGACCAGCACGTGTTGCCGCTCCAGCACCGGTAAAAAGCGGTGGAGAGCGAGGAACACTGCCAACAGCTCTAGGCGATTGATATGCCAATGCAGCTGGGCACCCTTCCAGAGGCCCGCAGCCGCATGCCCGCGACACACGGCCCCCCAACCCGTGTTGGAAGCGTCTGTTGAAACAACAACATGGCTGGACGCCTGTCCTAGAGGCACACCGGCCTGTAGGAACGAGGGGTCGTTCCAAGGGCTGAGGGCGCGGCGACACAGCGCAGTAACCGAGACCCGGTGTGTGCCCGCGTGCCATGCGCGTCTGGGGACCCGATCGTGAAGCCAGTGCTGAAGTGGTCTCATATGGAGCAACCCGAGCGGCGTGACGGTGGCTGCGGATGCCATATGCCCCAGGAGCCTCTGAAAGAACTTCAGTGGGACCACTAGTTTGCTGTCGAGCTCCCTCAGACAGTTCAGCAACAGGCGAGCGCGTTCCTCGGAGAGGTGCGCTACCATGGTGATCGAGTCCAGCTCCATGCCGAGAAAAGAAATCCTCTGCACGGGGGCGAGTTTGCTCTTTTCTCGGTTGACCTGAAGCCCCAGTAGGCGGAGATGCCGAAGCACCTTGTCCCTGTGCATAATCAATTGCTCCCGCGAGTGGGCTAAAATCAGCCAGTCGTCGAGATAATTGAGTAAGCGAATGCCCGCGAGCCGAAGGGGCGCTAGGGCACCCTCCGCGAGTTTGGTGAAGACCCGCGGAGACAGAGAGAGCCCGAAGGGGAGGACCTTGTACTGCCACGCTCGACCCTCGAACGCAAACCGCAGAAATTGGCGGTGGCGTGGAAGAATGGAGACATGGAAATACGCGTCCTTCAGGTCTATGGCTGCAAACCAATCCCGAGGACGAACGCATTGGAGAATGCGCCTCTGCGTGAGCATTCTGAACGGCAGCCTGTGCAGACAGCGGTTCAAAACGCGCAGATCTAGGATTGGCCGTGACCCACCGCTCTTTTTGGGTACGATGAAGTATGGGCTGTAAAACCCACTCTCCATCTCGGCTGGAAGAACCGGCTCGATTGCACCCTTCGCCAGGAGGGCAGCAATCTCCTCTCGCAAGACAGGGGCGGACAGGGGGTTGACCCTGGAGAAATACACGCCCGTAAACTTGGGGGGCCGTTTCGCGAACTGAATCGCGTAACCGAGTCTGATTGTGCGTATGAGCCACCGCGAGGGGCTGGCCCGCGCTAACCAGGCAGGCAGAGCCCTCGCTAATGGAGTCATCGCTACAATCGCTGACGTACCAGCGGTGGGGCAGCGCGGAGTGGGTGTGCTGATCCGGGAAGCACGAGGGTCCCGCGGAAGAGCTGGAGGAGAGCGATTCGCTCTGGCTCCGCACCCTGACTCCGGAGAGGGGGCTGGAGGGCTGAGGGAAGGGAGACCGTCCCCCCAGCGCTCGTGAGCCACTGGCGAAGCACGTAGAGTCTGCGAGCCGGAAGGCAGCGCGTCCCGGACTGGCAGAACTCGTGCAGTCACATCCGGGGAAGGGAAAAAGTGCTCTTTTACTGATGTTTTGGTGGCACTGAAAAGTACCGTTGTTATCGGGGCCCCGCCCTCCAGCGGGGAAAGAGCAAGTTTCCTCTTCTCCGGATGGCCTGTCTCAGGGACGCTTCGCGGTCCGTTTACCGGACTTAACGGCGCCCTGGGCAGGAGGGGCTGCCTGCTTTCGAGGTGAACGCCGCGCCCGCTTGGCCGGAGGCGCAGGCGGGGGCGGGGCAGCACTCGTTGGCGGGCGCCCTCGGCGAGGAACAGCGGAGGTGGATGGCTCGGCGGGCGGAGCGGGCTTACGGCCACGCCGATAGATGACATTGCCCATCGCATCCGACTGCTCTTTCACCGCCTTGAATTCCTGGGTGAATTCACCGACGGTGTCGCCGAACAGGCCAGCCTGGGATATGGGCGAGTCAAGAAAGCGAACTTTGTCAACGTCGCGCATATCGGCCAGGTTTAGCCAGAGGTGGCGTTCCTGAACCACAAGTGTGGACATCGTCCTCCCCAACGCACACGCGGCGGACTTAGTAGTCCGAAGAGCATAGTCGGTCGCGGTGCGCAGCTCATGTAATAAGCTTGGGTTGGACCCGCCCTCGTGCAGCTCGGCCAGCGCCTGCGCTTGGTAGCGCTGGTAGGTGGCCATCGCGTGCAAAGCAGAAGCAGCCTGGCCCGCAGCCTTATAAGCTCTGGCTCCGAGGGAGGCAGACAACCTACAGGCTTTGGACGGGAGGCGGGGCAAACCCCGCCACGTAGAGGCGCCGCGCGGACAAAGATTGACCGCGATAGCGCGCTCCACTGACGGGATCGCCTCATACCCCCTGGCAGCTCCGCCGTCAAGGACGGTGAGGGCGGAGGCACACGCAGCACGGGCAGAGAAAGGTGCCCTCCAAGACTGCGTGAGCCTACTGTGCACTTCCGGGAAGAAGGGGACGAGAGGCTTCGAAGGCTTCGCCTTCTGGTCCTCTACGTAGCACCCATCTAGTCGGTCCGGCCGCGGAGCTGGGGGATAAACCATCTCCAACCCCACGGCCGAAGCAGCCCGGGAAAGCACGGCTAACATGTCCGCTTCAGGATCCGATTTGACAGCGCTTACCTGCCCGGAGGGGGCGAGCGGGTCCGGATCTTCGTCGGACAGTGAAAGCCCACCCTCCAATGCCGCGGAGGACATCTGATCTCCGGTGTCAGCGAGTGTAAGAGCTACCATCTGGTTAGACGGATCACTCTCACCACCCGAAGCTTGGATGGAGCGCCGTGAGGAGCGAGAGGTCCGCGAGCCCGTGGGCGGCGGATTATCTCCCGCTGAAACCCTCAGATCTGCCCGAGCGCCCGCTGCTTTTTTAGAACAGGAGGCAACTGGGGTGGCTCGCTCTCTTGCGAAAGTTAGCCGCGATCTTAGCTGTGCAACGGTCATGGCATCGCAATGACGACATGAACCGCCCGCGAGCACCGCATTAACATGCTGGACCCCCAAACATGCAATGCAATGATCGTGTCCATCATCCGGAGCCAGGAAACCCCCGCATCTAGAAACGCACAGTCGGAGCGCCATCCTGAAAAGGACGTGCTGCACGACTGTGTTGCTCTTTTAGGAAAGTTGCAACTATACGCACCGCTCTGGAGGACCGGACCCAAAGAACCGTAGGCAAGGGAGTAACCCAGCTCGACCGTCTGCCACCGCGAAGACCCACTCTGGACCGGGAGACACACTCGTTCGCTCTGAAGTGCTGATCAGCAAGAGGAACCCTCATCGACTCACTCAGAAAGGATCTGAAGCGAAAAGGATGGCGTCTGCTGGCTTCAGGTGTGCTTATATGCTGAGATAATTGCAGATGTCGCACACCTGCGCAAGCTTACGCTGCCAATTAATTTCATTCATTGGCCCGTTCAATACTCTCCAGACAAGCGGCTTCTGATCCGAATCCTCCCAATGCGTGGATTTTACAAATCAAATCCACTTATAGTGCTGAAGTTCCCCCCGAAGGGGAACATTGAAATTATGACATAAAAAGTTGAAATTGTAACTTAAAATGTCTACAATGTACAATAAAAGTACAAATAAGAAATACATTTTGGGTATTTAAAATGCATCATCGTGCATTGAAATCATTTTATAATATGTATGCATACAGTGTATTACATTTTTAAAATTTATATAAAATGTATATAAAATGTACATATATATATATATATATATATATATATATATATATATATATATATATATATATATATATATATATATAGGTGCATTTAAACAAAAAAAAAAGATTTATTAAACAGATATATTTATTAAAATAATATTTTACTAATAGAAAATCTTTAGAATTGGAAACATAATACATTTAAATTCATGCAAAATATTGCAAAAATTACAATTTCAAACTACAACATTTCAACAAAATTGTAAATCATTTTTGTTTCTCTTGATTTTTGCTGTTTTTGAAAATTGTATTTAATCATTTTTCATAACATAAATTTAGGCTACTTATTTTTGAACTATTGTTGTAAGTTATTTTGTTAGATTAGCTCCGGATTTGGCTTCAGTACTGACTGAACTAATGTATATGCACAAATAAGATATTGTATAGCATCCTATAGAAAATATTAATTTAAATGGGAGATTTGAGGGCGGTGTACTCATATATGCTGAGCAATGTATGCATATTGCAACCTTGAAAAGTAAAAAAAAAAGGTGTATTGCAGTACAAAAACCTAATTAATTGGCAGTATATTTTCTGTTATTTTACACACTTAACTATATAACATATCTTACATATTTATATAATATCTCTTACATATTATATTATTTCAAACTGCTAAAATGTCAATAAAAGTCACTTAGAGTTAACCATAGAGTTAAAAGTCGACAGAGCAGAGATCAAGGTCCCATAATGCATTTCACAACCGCACATAAATGGAAATCACAAAAACACATTCCATTTCACAAAATATGAAAAGTGTTAATTAACACATATTTTTAAATTGTGGCACAAAAATGTTAAAATCAGATGAAGTCAGATTCAAAAATGTTGTATTTTTTCTTTGTGTTTTAAGACATATTAGAGTCAAATGGTTTTTACCGAGAAGATTTATTAGACAGAGAAACAATTCCCAGTTTTGTTGTCATGTTGTTAGGCAAATGTAAATTGATATAATATGAATAAAGAAAAATCTCTAAATGAACAGGTGTCTTCCACAAAATGATTGAGTAATATTTTTGCTGCAGGTGCTGTTTGTGCTGACTGGTACCTGTCATTCAGACAGAGACTAGTCCCCTCGGTTTGTACCACCACCAGGCCCTGGCCCTCATCCCAGCGAGCAGAGAAGGCGTAATGACCGTCTGAGTCTGCTTTCTCATTGGTGGCCACAAGCATGACAGGAGACTGCAGAGAGACCAGCTGGGACAGAGAAGGACTCTTTCTCTCGGCTTTCTCCTACAGGAAAGAGGAAAAAAAAAAACTGTTGAACAAGCATCAAAAGCAGCATGTAACTGGTGGGTCACCCCTGTGAGGCACATATCTCGTTTTATTGGAGTTTTATAGAAAGAACTGGAGAGCCAGAGAAACAAGCTTGTCACAACACTCGTCCTTGAAACAACAGTTTTACGAGTGCGAAGTGTTAAAGCTGACAGACTCCCTAAATGACCGCTGAACAAATAATGAACTTGATAATTCAAGTTAACAAAATTTTAAATAAAGAAGTTTTTGGAGTCTGAAGTAAGATTTGAGGAACACTAATACTATAAATACTGTTAATACTATAAACTGAAAAAAAGCTGTGTATATAATTTATTTTAGCAAGTTGCAAAGACAATAAAATACATATACAAATATAAAACATAACATTTTATAAGTTATTTTCCAATATACTAGTATTCAAGTGCACATTAAAGACTTAACTAGATTTATTAGGTTAACCAGGCAAGTTAAGTTAAAAAGGCAAGTCATTAGACAACATTGCCTTGATCTGAAGCCAATCTAAATATATATATATATATATATATATATATATATATATATATATATATATATATATATATATATATATATAATTGTTATTATTATTATTATTATTATTATTATTATTATTATTATTATTATTATTAAGGGGGCTAATAATATTAACCTTTTCAGCGAAAATATAGAGTTTTTTTTGTCCCAGCCAAACTTAAATAAATTTGATTTTCTTCAATAAGAAATATATAACAGGAAATATGTGAACTAGGGTTGTGCGTTTGATTAAAATCAGACTGAAATCACAATTTGGACATGCGCGATGTCTAAATTGCCTTAAAGCACGATTTTCCCGCAGTATGCCATTTAAACCAATCATAACACAGCGCGCCTAAACAGCGCAAGAACAGGAGACTGAATAGCCTGCATATAAAGGGATGGGTGAGTTCAGCACAGGAGGACTTGGTGCCAAAAAAAGGCAACATCTGTGGTGTGAAATTACTTGGGATACAGGAAGGCTGATGTATCGCAGAACCAGGTAATTTGTAAGTTAGTCATATATTGCATCTAAAAGTGTGTGGAAAGCGTGAGGAGCGTCGCTTCCTTCAGTATTTTCAACATGCTTTGCGGTGGCACTCCTTTGTCGTTGTTAGGCGAGGCTTTCTCAGAGGATGACAAACTAACAAAACATTGCTGCAGTACTAAGGTAAAAAGCGTGTTTGCAAAACTGTTGTAATAAAAACTTTCTTGTGCATTAATCCAGCATTTAATAATAATTTCTGAATGGCTTTTTCTGAGACACTGAAGTAGCTTAATGAAAAAAAGCTTTAAACACAAGAATAAATAATGTTTTAAACATGAAAAACAATAATTTAAATCAAAATAATATTTTAAGATCTTTTATATGTATTTTGGTCAAATAGTTGCAGTCTTAGTTAACTTTTTCCAAACTTTAACAGGTTCAACTAAAATAACTAAAAAGTAAAATAAATAACACCTATAACATGCGTTACGTTCTAAATAAAGCAGCATCAGATCCCAGAGGTCCCATGAGGTTAAATGGATCCTAATTTCTACTTATTCCTAAATTAAAATAAAACAACCTTTCTAGCCAGCGCACCGTGTTTGTTTATGGGCATACACAATTTCAGGCATTGTGTGTATCAATGGCGGAAATGGGAAGAGCTGACGTGATGTGCGCTCTGCTAGGAGAATTCTATGGATTACCTAGCGAGACAACATTTGTTTTCAAAATGGGTCGGAGGTGCACCTTCCAAGCTTTATGCAGGTTTGTCTCTCATGTGCATCTCTCATGTATTCGTGAAGATTTCGCAGCTTTTTCTGACCACAGTTTACATGCAGCCTGTGCCTCACATGGAGGATTGTAATATCAAAGCCTCGCAGGCATGGCCGCATTAAAAATAATGAGCTCAGACTGAGAAACTAGACATAGAGTTGGTTTCATACTGATTACTTTATCAAGCAATATTTGTTTCAACATGCACTCGCTGCATTTAAAAGTAGACACTTTACACCTTCTATAGATATATGTCTCATGTCAGTGTTCTGTTTTCGCAGAGTTTCAGTGCATTTTAGTGACGCCTTTCTAAAAACAATTTGCGGAGAGAGAAAAGAAAGAGTGCCTACACTGCTTATTTTCCTTATTTTGCAAAAGCATACACTTTTGATGTTATTGTGAGTGTACACAAAAAAATAGACACCTAACAGATTTGATTGATGTATTGCTCTTATCTGTACGATTAAAACTGAAAGTTTAATCTAAGTTATTTTCAGCGTTATCAGGAGAAGAGGCCATAAAACTTGTATACGCGTTTTTCCACCTCAAGGGTTAAATGCAGAGCTCGCAATATTGTTCAAGAAAATCATGATTGGTTTCTTTTGCGCATATCGCACAGCCCTACTGAGAACATTTTCTTTGCTCTGTAAAACATCAAATGAAAAATAACCTATTAATATTGTCATAAGATACACGATGTGTTTGTAAGATTGGTTAAATAAAGATGCCAAAGTGTGTCATGACTCATGAATGATTACTATTAAGCATGCAGGATCACATATACGCACACCCTCAACCCAATAGCTGAATGCAGGAAGTGAGTGCAAAGATAGATGTGGAGTGATCAGGTTTCTCCGAACACACAGTAGAAAGCAGAGGTGAGGGCTGGAGACTCCTGGCGTGTGAAAGCCCTGCGGCCAAAGGCTACTGAGCCTCTCCCCAGACACGGGCACCAGACGACCCGCTCACACAGGAAACCCCCCTGCAGGACGGCTTACGAGCCCTTCTCACCCCAATGTTTGGATTCCCCAGGGCAGGACGCATAGCGCTATTATTTAAGAGGAGCAGCAAAAGGCCGGGTACTTAAGAATTAATCATTTCGGTCAACTTTCATTTGCTAGTAATGTCCTCCATCCCCTTATATTACCCTTGTGAGCTGGCCGCAGAGCAAAGAGAGCACACCGAACAATGGAAATACAGCATATGACTTGGCAAGTGTCTTTTAAACCGTAGAAGTTTGAAGAGATGCTGTGCGAAGAACAATCGGTTGAGAAACAGGCACACCTTCAGAAATCCCCTAACTCTTATGAGATGGGAGAGGAAGCCGTGCCAAGCCCCGGATTGTAGGATTGTGTTTCGCATGAGAAAGGCTTCCGGACTCGGTTAGAAAAGTGTGGTTGGTATTAATGATATAAGTGAGGTACTGTCAGTTACAATAATGGATTCGCAGGGCCCTGGAGTGTACTGTTGCATGCAGTAAAATGGCAACCTCAAGATGGACTATAAATCCCTAACAGAGCCAAAAGCTGCCACAACTATTAGCCACTGGGCCTCTTAGCCGCCAGTGCAGCTCAACACGGTGACCACCGAGACTTTGGGAAGAGGGAACAATCAAAGTGAGCCCAACTACTGGGAGCTCTCGTGCTTGGCCGCAATCGCAGTATCTCAACCACCTTTCCCATGCGCATACTGAAACCTAATCCCAGTCTCCAACCACGGCTACATGGAATGAAACATATTTCAGCTGAAATAAAAGTTATTGTATAGAGGGGAGGTTGTCTGCTGAGATCACTGTATTTCAGATTGAAGTCCTACGTTTGCAATCACTTTCTTCCTGTCCTCTCTGATGCACTGCAATCACGATGCATCGCAGAGATTAGAGGCGATGATGAAATATTTCCTTACTGTCAGATAATCTAGGGAAAATAAATGGCAGCCTGCTCCTTATTAGGACCCAGGCTTATATTAGTTCCCAGACTGCTCTGTGTCCTGACCTGCGCCTTTCCCCTGATTAGGTCATATGATAAACATTAGCGCCACTGCGTTTTTCCCACCAACTCAGCACCTAAAGACTGTGGCCTGAGGGCGGCAACGTGACACGCTCTTTTCTTCCAAAGCCCCAGTCGACATGTGTCCTTTCATGGCACCTCGTTAGGTCTCTACCGATGAGATGAAAGAGCCGCTTTAAAGGAGGACGGAGGTGGGAAAGAATCACAGGTACGGTCACAACGTGGATAGATTTACACCAGCGTTTTGTGTCATCCTGGCTTTTGAAAATCGAGTGGTATCAGTGCCAATGGCTCACTGTCACTAATTCACTTAGAGATTTATTTATTAAATACCAAAGATAGCATAAAGCTTATGTCGTAATGTTGCAAAAATAGCATTTATTTGGATTAATCATGTTCGTTTTTTCCTCAAATGTTTTTGTATATCCAACAAAGTGCTTGCATATTGGGAAAAGCCAAGACTGTAATGCTCACATTAGTACCATATGTTCAGCCTCATTAAAATGTGGTCTAAAATAATAACTACTGGCCTGCGTTCACATGTCAGCACTATATCATTTCATACTGCACCAGGAAACTCAGAAAACCTTGAGAAACTAGGCTGAGGGTTTCAGTTCCTTACCTTTGACTGGGTCTTCTCCAGTACTTCATGCAGGTGAGCCACCTGCCGATTGAGGTGGACCAGTGTGATCTCATCTTTAAACACCTGGCAGTTCAGCTTCATTTTTTCTAGAATTCGAACCTCTAATGGCCTGAGGAGTAAACAAGCACAAGTTGCTCCCTTGAGTTTTCGTAAAGGAACAGTTGACCGAGATATTTCCCATTTTTATCCACAGAGCGACTTAAAGTTCAGTAAGTTCTTTACACTAAGCAGTGTACAGCTTGAGAAAGGCTAGGAAAATAGTGACTAGTTAATAGTGATACATGTTTTTATGTCATTTTTATTTCAGTCATCTAATTATAGTCCCCCTGTTTATTATTATTATTACATTTCTAAACATAATAGTTTTATTAACTAATTTCTAATAACCGATTTATTTTATCTTTGCCATGATGACAGTACATAATATTTTACTAGATATTTTTCTAACCTAACTAGGTTAAATATGATAACTAGGCAGGATAGGGTGATTAGGCTATTTATTGTTTAACGATGGTTGTTCTGTAGACAATTAAATTATTTATATATAGCTTAAAGCTAATAATTTTGACCTAAAAATATTTTTAAAAAAATTAAAAACTGCTTTTATTCTAGCTGAAATAAAACAAATAAGAATTCCTCCAGAAGAAAAAATATTATCAGACCTACTGTAAAGATTTCCTTGCTCTGTTAAACATAATTTGGAAAATATTTTAAAAAGAAAAAAAATTCAGAGGGGAGCTAATAATTCTGACTTCAAATGTGCATAAAAAGGTTGACATAAGAAAAACTCCTATATGTCACAAAATGGTTTGGGACATGAGAATAAATTATAATCAAATTTTCATTTTTAGAGAAGGATTTCTTTAAGCTTTTTCTTGGATCAAGAAGCTGATCTGAACAGATTTCCAATCTTCTGTCACTTTATATCAAAGATTAGGCTTTTTATTATTCTGTGGCTGGATCTTAAATAAATGTAAGCGGTCTAAACCTATCATGTTCTCAGACACAAATATCTTAGATTGATGTCATCCAAAAACCCTGAAACTTGAAAGATTTGTTTGCATTTTTTTGCTGGGGAAATGGCCAAGCACATGAAGGACATAATGAAACAAAAAACAATAAGCCTTCAAGTTAAGTGGCTTATCAGGTAATTAATGAGGACTTGGACATTTTGATTCATGATGGTATTTTCTCACACCCTTATCCATTCCTGCTTTCAATCTGTCCAGCTTGAAAAGATGTCAGAATAAATCAAAGCCCGTAATGCTGAGAAAAAGCAGGAAACTACTGGGTGAGACCCACACTGGCTTTTCCCTTAAAACACCCTCTTTTTATTTGCACACCTCATAAATTAAACAGGTACAGATTCCCGTTTTAGGTGATAAAGCTGATCCTTCAAAAGTTATGCTTCTGTGTTTCCTTAAAAAAACAACATTGTAAGAGTGAGCAAATGGTGGGCAAACATTTAGCATTTTCTCTGAACACTATCAAAGCCATGTAGATATTTCATTTTAAAAGGGTTATTTCATCTTAAAAAATAAAAAAGTATGTTGTGTATTCACCATCATGTTGTGTCAAACCCCATAAAAGTTTTGTTCATCTTTAGAACATAGGTGGAGATATCTTTTAGATTTCTGTCAATCTGATACACTTTCATAAAAAGATCAAAATAAAAATCCATACAGTACTCATTAAAAACTTTTTTTTGGATTTTTATTTTGATCTACCTAATGCAAGTGTTCTGAAAATACACGGTGAACATATTGATTTTTTTCAAATCAACACCAATAAACATTATACACAGCCACAGCCATATCACTCTGCAGCTTAAGACAGGTTACTAACTGAAGCTAAGCAGGGCTGAGCCTGGTCAGTACCTGGATGGGAGACCACATGGGAAAACTAGGTTGCTGTTCGAAGTGGTGTTGGTGAGGCCAGCAAGAAGTGCTCAACCTGTGGTCTGTGGGAGTCCTAATGCCCCAGTATAGTGACACTGTACATTGTATAGTGAGTGCTTTCGGATGAGAAGTTAGACTGAGGTTTTGACTCTCTGTGGTCAATAAAAATCTAATGGCACTTCTTGTAAAGTGTAACCCCGGTGACCTGGCCAAATTCCTCCCATTGGCCCTTACCGATCATGGCCTCCCAATTATCCCCATCCACCTAATTGGCTCTATCACTGTCTCTCCACTCCACCTATAGCTGGTGTGTGGTGATTGCACTGACGCCATTGTCCCTTGACTGCCATTGCATCATCTAAGTCAATGATGCACACTGGTGGTGGAGGGGTGAGACACTCCTCATGATTGTGAAGCGTTTTAGGTGTATGGCCATACACGATAAATGGGCTACATAGATACACACATTACATTAAATACCAAAGCTCAACCATATCTGATTGAAATGAAAGAGCAAACCTTATTGGTACTTGCAAAAGCTCAAGCATGTCACGAATGAATCTCATTGGTGGTGCTGAAAATTTTGTTCGCTGATTAATGCTAAGGTGTGAAAAAGAGACTGCAATACATCTGTTGATCATACAAAGTGGTGATTTATCTTAAGAACACTTGTATTAAACCATTCAATTCATATGTGCTTTTTTATTTTATTTTATTTTATTTTACTGTAGATTTAGATGTATAGACTTCCAATAGATAACCTAATAATAACTAACTTATTGAATTAGAATTTTCTGCATCGAACATGAACAAATTTAGTAACACTTTAGTTTAAGTACCAATTCTCACTAACTAATGTCTTATCACCTTCCTATTTTTAAGATATTGGTTGTTTATTAGTGCTTATAAAGTACAGTACATATTCTCCATGATTTTATTCAATATCTTTAAGCCCAACTAATTCATAAACATGATCAATATAGCCTAATAACTATTAATAAGCAGCAAATTATGAGTTTATTGAAGCAAAAGTCATAGTTAATAGTTTATTAATAGAAAGAACTGCATATTAAATATTAAGAGTGACCAAAATTTCTTATGGGTCTAAAAACATCTCATGGGTATATACAGTAAATGATGATAGCATTTTTTTTAGGGTGAACTAACCCTTTAGGAAAACACATTAAACACTGACATAATGGGTCCAATCAAGAGGTGGAGCAGGCAGCAGCTTTCTCAGCACTTCAGGAAATTAGGAAAGATCTACCCATTACCGTCATCCACTGCAACCTTCAGCACTGACGCCACAGAAAAAATAAACTGTAACAGACTGTAAACAGAGCATCAAAAATCACAGGATGTGGGAAATTACACTGAGGGCATCCAAAACCAGCTGTGATCATCGCTTCTTCCAACTTTTCCTCCTAGAGGATGCAGTGCATCATTATCTATAGAGACTAAGGCATTAATGAACTGTTTCCCATGATAATCACATATAATTACTGCACTACTTTACATTAACCTCAAGAACATTTTATTCTCTATTATAATAGGATATGCTTACTTATTCTTCTGTGCTGGTGCAGTGTTGAAACTGTCCCTGAGCATTTGAAGGTTCTGTCTCTTCCTCTTCAGACTGTCCTGAGCCTCAGAGAGACGTCTCTTCACATCCGCATGGTCTGTTTGCACTGCATCCACCTCCTCCTCCTCCATCTTCTTCAGATCTGAACAGAAGGCCACCAGATCATGGTAAAGCTCCTGAACCTGGATGTCATACAGACACAGATCAGCTAAAATCAATAGCATAGAACGGGGTTATTCGTCACTTTTTTCCCCTCTGAGGGCAGGTTTATTTTTGAAAAGTCTGTTTCTGTAGAAAAACATTCTTCTATGTTTCGGCTACAGAAACGTTTTTGAACATTTCCAATGTTATTGCCAAGGAAAAAAGATGCAGTTCATTGAAAACATACAGACCCTGTGATAACATGCTCTAAAATTAGACACAGAAAAAAAACAGTTTAGCCCAAAGTCCTGGTAGCCATTACCTTGCATTTTATGAATCACAGTATTTTCATCTAAAATCTTCTTTCAAGAGTTACACTTAGCTGATGATTTATAATAAGCTTGTTTGGCATGCTGTTTTCCGGGTGAGAGACCTGAACTCAAGGAATCCTGGATCTCAGGGCTCCCTTCCGTTTGCAGAATGAGAAAGGAGATTGAGCTCAGGTAGATCTCAAAAACTTGCCCTCTGTTGTAGTCCATTTGGCTTAGTCGGTTCATACATGACATATATCTTTCTATGGTGGGAGGAAACCTGGGAACCCTGGGGAAACCCACATTGAAACGAGGAGAACATGCAAACTCTGCACAGAAACGCCACTGGGGCAACAGTGCTAGCCATGCCATGCCACCCAATCTAGGTGAAAGGGGGAGGATTCTTCCATATTTTCATTCTTCCAGATGAAAATAGTAGTGGAATGAAAACTTTGGTTATATATAGTGACTTAGGAATCATCTGATTGGAGGATCATGTGTTAGCTAATGCGGGATCATAAGCATGTGATACGCTCAAAATTAGCTTATATATTATATAATTTAATATTTTTCTGTAAAAGTCATATTCATCTTGAATGGTCAGAGGTTTATTATTAAACACGGTCATTATTTAAACACCCTTGGATTGTTCCAAACTTTTAAGCATTTCTTTCTGGGTTACAGTTTTCTTCAAAATATTTTCTTTTGTGTTTAGAAAAAAAAAGAAAGGTTTGTAATCACTTGATGGTGAGTAAATAGTGAGTACATTTTAATATTTGAGTAAATTATCACTTTTAATTTATTTTTAAATGACTTTAAGCAACACTATATTTATCATTTATGCATTCTGTTGACTATACATAACTCTGAAGATCATCAGCTTAGCATCTGCCGCCTACAAACACTCTACTGATTAAAAGTATTTTTCATTAATCCTAACCCACTGTAAGTCTACTAACATTGTACTAAAACTCTAATAAGATAAACTTGACATGTTGTTGTAAAGTTAACATGTCTAAAACAGTCCATCAAAATAAAGTGCAAACACATATTAAATTAAAAACCAACAATAAATAATTATTAGAGAAAACCAGCATTTGCATAACCTGACCTGTAGTGCCTGCTGAGACAACAAGACCAAGAATTAATTCAACCCAGGCTCATTCAGAAAACATACCGCTATGTGAAGTTTCATAAACTAATTTCGATAGGAGCACGTGATATGATTGTGCACCGTTGGCCACTCATCCGTAATCAGTAATAATCCAATCAGAATGATCCTAGCTTAATATAAATGGATCACTTTCTCCTTATTGCACTATCTTCGTTTTGGAAGAATCCCCCCTTCCACCCCATCTCCTCTTTTTTCTCCCCTTCTAAAGGGGGAGCGATCGAGACCTACCTGATCTCGGTTCTCCTGATATGCTTCTAGACCGGGCGGGAGCCCTGGGCTCAAATATCTCCGAGCTCAGCGTTCTCTCCCGGGACAGCATGTTAAACCTGCTATAAGTGCCAAGCATATCTAAGTGGGAACTCTTGAAATACAATTCTGGAGAGCACCAAATATGTCAGAGGAGCTACGTTTTTTGCAAATCCACCAGAGGCTGTGTGTGCGTTTTTTTTAGATCTGAAATTTATGTCCCGAGTGCTATTCGTGCCTGCTGTTCTCACGTAAATCTACCAAAAGCCACTGTCGACTTACTGACCGACCGATTCCCTCCCCCTTCTCCCCCTAAACCCAACCAATAGTGTTTTCAAAAGCATCAGTTGACCCACCCACTTCCTTACATTTTCACTGTTATTTACTTGTTTATTTTATCTTTTCGTTTTTGTCCTACAGTATTTACTTTCTGGAATCTTTCTTCACTGAACCCGAAACCGATTGCCATGGTCAACTTCTCTCTGCATCTTAAGTCCGCCGATGAACATGGCAAGCTAACTGGACAAACTGGTACCAGTGGAAAAGCCATCCATACGTAGGTAAGCTGTCAGCTGTAAGCACGAAAAGAAACTGCATCATACCACCTCGGAGCGTCAGTTTTAAAGACAAAATGCAGCCATACGTACTTCTGGCTACATAATGCGTGATCTCCAGAAATGTATATAGGGCTAAGTTTTCAGAATAAGTCTGTGTTGTCTTTATTTAAAAAAAAAAGAAAAAAAAGAAAAAAGAAAATGGAAAATATTTAGTTTAGATCTCACTTTATTCCAGCAGGATGACAAGAAATATTTACTTGTATGATGACGTTTTGAAGGGAAGCCACCTGCTGGTTTAGCTCTTGGATCTTCTCGTTGTTTCGTAGATTCTTGCTCTGAACATCATCAGCAGTGCAACTGCTATCTGGTGAACCAGGACCATCTTTCTGTGTGTCCTAAAGGTTTTGTGAGGCAAAGGTAAAATTGTATACATTAAACTTTAACTCCTTGGAGATCTATATTTGTATATTGTTTTACTCCACTTTAATGTTTAGCTAAAACACGCGATTCTGTCTACCTTTTTACATAAGTGAAGCTCCATTAGTCTCGTCTCTGAGCCAGGCAATTCTCCAATCTGCTGCTCAGGGGAGATCTCATCTGAAAAACGTGGAAAAATAGAGATGGTATGTAAAAGTAAATTCACTGTGTAAATTCCAGAGCACTTACAAGCCACAAGCCATATATGATTCTCTCTGAACGCAAGGCAAAATGGCAGATCTTTTCCAAAGAAGACAAAAGAAAAAGCCCTAAAAATAATACACTAAACCGAGTGCAAGTCAGGTTTAGCCTGATTAATTATTTCATATCTTTTTCCTTTTTTGCTTATGTGTGTATAATCACACTGGCATACTTATGGCACTTATCCATAAATATATGTTAACATCTTTTACTGCAAATTATATAAAACAAAAAAAGAGTTTCTCCAGAAGAAAAATAATGTAGAAATACTGTGAAAAATGCATTGCTCTGTTAAATGCTAACAATTGGGAAATATTTAAAAAAGAAAATACATCACAGGAGGTCTAATAAATGTGACTGTATATATATATATATATATATATATATATATATATATATATATATATATATATATATATATATATATATATATATATATATATATATATATATATATATATATATATATATATATATATATATATATATATATATATATATTTTTTTTTTTTTTTATTTTTTTTTTTTTTTTTTTAATATATATATAATTCTTATAAATCGCCAGTAACCACATCCAGTAATTGAGTAATCCAGGTACAAAGAACGGATCCCAGGATGGCTATTAATTCTGACTTCAACTGTCATCTGTGATAAAGGATATATTTTAATTTAAACATATTTTATTCAATTTTGCTTATAAATATACAAGACCTTCTTTGATTTTCAAGTTGAAGTGATCTTTGTCTTCATTTATTCCCAGCATCCTCAGGCAGGACTCTATCACTTTCGCCACACTTGTTTCTTTGGGCGTCCTTAAATGAACTGTTCGATCTGAAGCTAAAACAAAATAGCAGAAATAAATATTTGCCAGAGCTCTAAAAAATAATTTGTGAAAAATGCTTGACAGTTATTTGGTATAGAATTGTATAAAACTGTACCATTTACTGTGATCTCCATGAGATGAGAGTTCTTCTGAAATCTTTGCTCCTGTCTGTGAATGAAAACATGACATATTCAGGCCAATCTATGAGTGCTGGTACGCAAACAATGTAAATGCAATATTGGAAAGGTTTCACATTGTATGAAGAGGAAGGGCACTCTACCTGAATTTGAATGAACAGCGGTTCGTGTTGCCAACTTGCGGAGAAGATTTTGACTTGGTCATGGAAACCAAAGCCGCTGTGAATATCTCAACATTGTGTGGACCAAACCTTTCTATTGGAGGAAAAAAACAAGTGAGGCAAACTTTACAAGACTGATACAACAAAAGCACTAAGACGTGAACTCAGAACAATTCATGACTGTGTTATGGTACCCAGGAGGGAGTCGAGTCTTTGGGTGGTGGAGTTTGGTGGGTGTAACTCATGGTAAATGGCAGACAGCAGCCTCTCTCTATCCTCCAGATTGGACACTTGAAGGATTTCAAGAGTCTTGAGATCAATAGAAGCGATGTGAGATCCACTGAACTCTGCCTCTGTAGGGTTTGATCCACCCAAAGCCACAAAATGATCATTAACATCTCTTCAAACTGTTTTTTTCTGATAAATAACACCAATGGATCTCTAAAATAGCTCTTTATTGGTTAGAATACTTTGCGAAAAAGGTCTTGCGAATCATTAACTAGCAATAGTAAAAGTCTCGACGGTGCTATATAGGCTAGTAGATGTTGTTTTTCCTCTCTTTTTAAAGTGATGCATGGAAATACTTCTTAAACTGATGCAATAACTTAAAAGTGTAAATGAGTAATGCGTAATGTGAACACTTATTGGTTTGTGGTCTATGCATTTGTCTTTTTGAATGTTTAGCAGAATTAAAACATTTAAAAAGGGTGGGAAAATGACAAAAACAAATGTGCAAACTCTATTTTACCTCTAATGAAGGGCAGGCATTTCTCTAGACCAATATTACTAAACCACTGGCAGACCTCATCCATGTTCAGCTCTGCTAGATTTTTGGCTCTGTACCCATTAGAATCCTGCTAAACACAGACAGATACAACACAAACACGCAATACATACATACAGCTTTTAAAGTTCAGGACACGCATGCATGCAGACACATTCATCAACTTGAAATAACTGGTTGTGAACATCCTCCTGCATGTTCGTGGGGAATTAACGCGATGAAAGACGAGTCCACACAAAAAAACTAATTTAGAACATTCCACCATAAAAGAGTGAAAATAGGACTTTAACTGTTTTTTCTTTAACCAGGGAGAATTTCTTTAACTATGGAACCCATGAAATGCTGCATGAGTGTACTTGCGTATACCCTACAGCTGTGGATGCTCTGAATGTAAAATGAGGAGTGTTTTCACGTGTAACTACTGCTGTTTTTAGAAACGTGTTGTTTGCAACAGTACACTACCTGACAAAAGTCTTGTGGCTTATTCAAGTTTTAGCAACATCAAATAATAGCATGCAAAGGCTTCAAATAAGCCAAATAAAATATGGTCATGCCTTGATTTTTAATTATTTAATTAGGACAGTAAGGTCTGACTTTGCTGAGACAAAAGTCTTGTCACTTAACAGAAATAATGTAGAGTATAGAATATAAAATCACGGTGCAGTGAAAAAAGAATGAATATTGTGTATGACTCCCATGAGCTTGGAGGACTTCATACATACATTTCTGCAATGACTCAAATAACTCATTAATAAAGTCACCTGGAATGGCAAACAAAGCGTTCTTGCAGGACGCCCAGATTTCATCAAGATTCTTTGAATTCATCTTCATTCTGTTCTATGAGACTTGCATTTATAAAGGCCCCATCTATACTTCAGGCTGTTGATGTTGCCATCCACTCTGCAGATCTCTTGCACGCCCCATACTGAATGTAACCCCAAACCATGACTTTTCCTTCACCAAACTTGACTAAATTCCGTAAGAATCTTGGGTCCATGCGGGTTCCAATAGGTCTTCTGCAGTATTTGTGATGATTGGAATGCAGTTTAACAGATAATTAATCTGGAAAAAATCTACCTTCGGCCACAAACGATCAACTACCATTAATTAGTTGCTTTTACAAGTGGGATCGAAGTCTAGACTTTAGTCAGGGGGTGTATCATCAAGCAGAGCCTTTTATGTTACTGACTGCGAATGGTTTTTTGAATAAAATTTGCACAATTTTAATAAGCACTAAAATTAGTGCTTAAAATCGTTCATAGTTTTATGGTTTACTGGACATTACATCCTAAAAATGAGACTAAGAAAAGAAGAGAAATGAAACTCTCTAAGTAAAGCCAAAATGCTGTCAGTATACTTTTCACATTCAGCGTTACCTTCATTGCGTTTTCTCCAGTGTGCTCCTTTGACTGAGGAATGTAGGATGCTGGGAAGAGGGGAAATAACAAGTTCACAGTCTTGCTAAAAAAAGACAAGCCTTAATGTGTATGCTAGTTTAGCATTACTGCTAGTTTGGGATCTTGCTTTAAACCTGGTTGAAAATCCAATAACACTTTTTGGTTTCCTAATCAAAATGGATTGGCCAAATATTATATTATAACTAAAAATCAATCTTTTTGTTAACTTGAATTCTTTTTACTAGAAGATATTTTGTACTGTTTTGTTGTGGTTAAGCTAACCAAGAAACCCTAACTGGATATGCTAGTTAAAAGGCCTAGAGGGAGACTGCTTAAAGTATTAGCAACCTGGCCTTTGCCATCCAGGCAATAGATCATATCACGCATTTACCAACAGTTATCCTTCTTTGACGTGGAGATTCCTCATCTTCAAGGATTTCATCTTGTTTTTGACATGCAGAGTGAAAGGTTTGACTTCTTGGCACCGGATCGCCCAAACTACAAGACCTAGTGGCTGGATTCTGATGACAAACAAGGGTCAAATCACATATTCTGTGTGAAATATGAATTATGGCAATGAGCTGCTAATCACTGTTTTCAGTTGTATTAATTAACAGACATAATCATCAAGTGCTTTTACCTTCTGGTGTGTTAGCATGCTCATCTTACAGCTTAGCGGTAGTAGCCTCAACTCTTCCTTTAGCAACTCACGGCTGCTGGCATCCTTGCTGCTCAAGTCATCTAAATGAGTAAAACAACACATCAACAAAGATATCAGCATTATTAACAGATGCCTACTAAGCGGATGGGAAAGAACTTTTGGGTCCGGAGAAGTCCCAACTCTGTCTGGGTCATTGAGTCCATCTCTGGGAAACAAAACAAGTAGAACTTCAAGCTAACATGGGAAAAATTGGTTCGAAAGTCAAGTCTGGATACTAAAGAACACCATATTTGGTGTATTGAGCTCTGTGGAGAAAACTTGAAAGCTTGGTTGGAATTTGTCAAATTAATATTGTCAGCCGGAAACAGGTACTTAATCTCTGTATGCTAGCGCTAAAACTTAAGCTAATAATGTTGAGGGAAGAATGAAGGCATTTTTTTTTTTTGCTGTAGTTGTTTTTGGTTCTGTGGCATCAGTCATCAATGATTTATCACAAGCCTTTTCTGCATACTTTGTACTTACATGCCAGTACACTGCTGAACTGTGGGATATTGCAAAACTGGGTTGACAGTGAAAAGGACAAGTGAGGTTCTGTCTGGCCAGTGGCATACTTTAGTGACCAGTGACATGCTATGTTTTCCCACAGACAGCAGACATTCTAACATTCCCATAACCGCAATGCTTTCTGAACCCCTCCTCCCCTTCCTTCATAAAAAGCAGGAAAAACAAACAAGTGCTGGGAATTGACACACTCAAACGATGGCCTAAAGTCCTATCAAATATCCATTCTTGAATCCCTGTTGAACATAAGAGGAAACGCTATATGTTCGGCATTGATGCCAGGTTTGTACATTGCCTGAGGAAACCAACAGGCTTGTCAATTCAGCAAAAGATGTTGGGAAATTTGACCAAAGGCCCTGTTTTCACCTGATATTGATATGTTTTCAGTGATCTGATCATAAGTGGTCAGCTAACGCATAAAACTGAGGTCTATTTTCTTACTTCTCAAAACACTTGCAAAACGAAATAGAGTTAGATAAACTTGCTTAGCATACAAATTAGCACATTTAAAAAAGCAGCTATGCTACAATGGAGGACACCATAATGTGAATCTAAGCTCAAGCCCACTCAAGCCCAGTTTATTGACCTTATTCTAAAATGCGGAAGTGCGCCTGTTTTCGCGATTGTCTTAGAACTTCCGATTCAGTCGCTTATGGTAGAAATGACTAGGAATAATAAACGGCAGAAAATGGCCAAACTACTTCCTCAACAAACAAATGTTTGCATGACTACACAGACCAAGTAGCATAATATAATAAGAAAATATTAAATTGCAACATCAAGCAGCGTAACGAGCAGTTGTTAACGTCAAAAAATGAATGGAAGTGAATGTGACCGGAAGTCGCAAGACAAAAATATTCAAATGGCAGCGCCCGCTCGTCAGCTGAGAATAAGGTGAATATACTAGCTTCAATTGATTGCACATCCCCTCCACGTAGAGAAAAAACTATTTTTTTTCTGTGTTCTGTCTGTGTTGTTCAGCAATAACACTTCCAAATTGCTTGTCATTGTGACATGTAATTAAATTTTTGTGTGTCAGGGTAAATCGAAGGATATGCAACTGTGTGACTTATGCCAAGCCTTAAGTCACAATTACAGTGAGAACAATTCTACAGTGAAATAATGATATATTGGCTTTTTAAGTAAGTTTAGGCAAACAGTTTATATGGACTGATTTTAAACAAAATACATTCTGTTCAACTTGATTTGTTTGTTTAATTTCATTCCATATAAATTGTTTGCAACCACTTACCTTAAAAAAATATTTCAGTGTTTTTTATCGAGCATACTCATAAACAATTATGGGCATCACTAGGCCACTTTTAGGGGGGCTCTAACTTGTTTTTCCTTTAATCAGGATATCACAGCTGTGCCGAGCAAGAGAACAAGGTGTGTTTGTTGATAGATTGTTATAAATTTCCAGTTCTTTGCTGTAGAAAGACTTGTGTCACTTGTAGTCCTATGTCATAGGTAGTAATTGGGTTTCCCATCTAATGTTTTTTCCAGCGAAAGTGCAACTCTTAACGAACGATTTGCTATGTTTATTCATTCATTAACTTTCTTTTCGGCTTTGTCCCGGTGGTTGAACCACAACGAAATGAACCGCCAACTAATCCAGCATATGTTTTATGCAGAGGATGCCCACAACAAAACACTGGGAAACACTCATGCACTCTTGCATTCACACACATACAATATGGCTATTTAATTCAATTCACCTACAGTCCCTGACAAAAGTCTTGACGCTTATCTATTTTGTAGAAACACCTGCTATTAACCTGACTTTGATCAATTGGTGTTAGAAATAACTCATATGAAAAGCTAAAACCCTCCCAAATGATGTTTAATGCACTAAAATAAGTTCAGTTTTACTAAAAAAAGATTTATCATTTAATCAAGACAGAAAAGTCACATTTTAGAAAGACAAAAGTTCTGTCGCCTATTCAGAAATTGAACAAATTTACTGGAAATAAAAAAATATGTCAGCAAATGAAGTAGTGGTGCTGTGAGATCCAAATTTATTATCTTGTATGACTTCCATGAGCTTGAAGGACTGCATCCACATGGTTTGGCAAGAATTCATTCAATTTATTGATGAAGTCATCAGGAAATGCAAAGAAAATTGTCTTGCATGCCTCCCAAAGTTCATCCATATTCTTTGGTTTCATCTTCTATGCTACCTCTTTCATTCTACCCCATATGCTTAATCATGTTCATATCTAGTGACTGGGCTAGCTAATCTTGGAGCATCTTGATCTTCTTCGTCTCGAGAAACTTTGATATGGAAATGTAATTTTCAATGGAGCACCATCCTCCTACAGAATTTGGCCTCTTTTATAGTTGAGAATATAAGGAGTAGCAATAAGATTTCTTGGTATTTTAAACCTTTCACCCTGCAGATCTTTTGCACACCCGATACTGGATGCAACCCCAGACCATGATTTTTCCACCACCAAACTTCACTGTTTTTTGGGTGAATCTCTGATCCTTGATATTTATGGTGACTGTGGTGTAATTTAACAAAAGATTAATCTGAAAAATCCACCTTCTGCCACTTTTCCAGCGTCCATCTTTTTAGCAGGCTGTGGCTCTTGGCAAATACCACACGTTTTTTAATTGTCTTTTGTTTAGCGCTGGCTTCAGGGCACTGATTTGGCCATGGAGGCCATTTCGAGACAGAATCCAAACTGTTTCGGTTGACACAGGGACTTCAGGTGACCCGGTCTCGTGGAACTCTGCTTCAGTGGAAAATGGGCTGGCCTTGCATTTTCGAGCCAACAAACAGTCCTCTTGAGCAGATGTCTTGCGGGGTCTTCCTGACCTGGGCTTGTCAAAAACGTCTCCAGTCTCTATAAAACTTTTTTTTTAATCCTCTGTAATTGACGCTGAGACACTTTAAAGGTGTCTGCTACATCAGCAGTGGATTTGGTCTTCAGCCTCTTGATAATCAACACTTTAGTCTCAGGGTGAATCTTAGATATGTTTGCAGAGGTCTAGTTGCAGTTGATGTGGAGGTCTAGTGTACTGGGGTTCTTTTTATACACACCTAAGAACTAATTGATTCATTATTAGTCATATGTGAAGCTCATATGACAAGGTGACAACACTTATGTCTTTGCAAAAATTGACTCAATTGGTGTTCCCAAGCCGGAAATATTATAATACTTTTGACAATTGACAGCTGTTGAGATTAAAATGAGCCAATTCTGGTAAAAGAAATCTTGATTAGATATATATTTGAGTGACACTTCTGGTCAATTTGTACACAAGCAACAAGACATTTGTCAGGGACTGTACAGTGCATGACTTTGGACTGTAGGGGAAACCGGAGCACCCGGAGGAAACCCACAACAACATGGGGAGAACATGCAAACTCCACACAGAAATGCCAACTGACCCAGCAGAGGCTCGAACCAGCAACCTTCTTGTTGTGAGGCAATTGTGCTACCCACTGCACCACAGTGATGCTGTGCTATTATCACAGTGCATGTGGCATTAACTATAGCATGCTTTCATGCACAGTATTAAACAGAGTAACAGAACGCATTTAACATATCAGAGTGACATCAGAGTGAAACATCATGTGTTGTATTGTATTAAAAATAATTTCCTGTTATGACTTAAATTATGGTTGTGAAATATTTTAATTAGCCTGTATGTTTTTTTTATAATTCTATATTTATGCCATTCTGAATTAGAAGAGTGACAGTTTATTTATTTAATACATGGAAAAATGAAATTGTAAGTGTTTTGTACTACAGTAAATTGGTGTGTGTTGAGCCTATTTGGTTCATTTAGAACTCAAATGGCTATGTGGCCAAATACTACATATATATATTTTTTAAATATATGTAAATTTATATTAAAAAATGTACAATTAAAAAAATTATATATACTGTATACAGTTGAAGTCAGAATTATTAGCCCCCTGAATTATTAGCTCCCCTGTTTATTTTTCCCCATTTTCTGTTTAACGGAGAGAAGATTTTTTTTCAACACATTTCTAAACATAATAGTTTTAATAAGTCATTTCTAATAACAATAATGATTTATTTTATCTTTGCTATGATGACAGCAAATGATATTTTATTAGATATTTTTTTAGACACTTCTATACAGCTTATAGTAAAATTTAAAGGCTTAACTAGGTTAATTATGTCAACTAGGCAGGTAAGGATAGTTAAGCAAGATATTGTGTAATAATAGTTTGTTCTGTAAAAAAATTATCTTTCATTTTTTCCAAAAATATATAGCTTAAAGAGGCTAATAATTTAAAATGATTTAAAATGTTTTTAAAAAAAGAAAAACTGCATAAAAAAAAAAAAAAAAAAATATATATATATATATATATATATATATATATATATATATATATATATATATATATATATATATATATATATATATATATATATATATATATATATATATATATATATATATATATATATATATATATATATATATATATATATATATATATATATATATATATATATTCCAATATAACAAATAGAAG